CCCCCCCCCCCCAACCTCCCCATGCAGGCGGCAGAGCTCAAATCAACACACAGCACGGCGGGCAGCAGCGCGTTCCTTTTAAAACCCTTTATTATTCTCATTATCATCATCATTATTATCATTATTATTTACGCCATGTCTCACGTATACGATACAAATCCACGGTGTCCAGAAATGGGATTATTATTATTAATAATAATAATTTTTTTTAATTATTTTTTATTATTATTATTTTTTTTTATGTATTTTTTGTTTTGTTTTGTTTTCTGGCTGGAATCGCTACATTCAGAGGTGGCACACGCAGAACGATGCTTTTACATAAAACAAAGGACGATTCTCTCTTTTTTTTCTTTTTTTTTTCTTTTTTTTTTCTTGTTCGTTTCGAGCATTAACAGATAAGTCAAGACAAATAGATAACTATACATTCAGTGCAATTTAGTCCTACACTACTTTATAAGCACAAGAAAAAAGAATACAATGCTGTGCGTTCTCAACTAGGCAGTTTCAGTTGTTGGGATTTTTTATTTTTTATTTTTTTTTTAATTTTTTTTAATGATTTTTTTTTTGTAATTTTTTTTTTTGTAATTTTTTTTTTGTAATTTTTTTTTTTTTTAATCATCATCTCGAGAAAATAAGCAGCAACAAACGACAATAAAACCGCATTACAAATACTTCCAAAGCATGACTCCTTCTATAGGTAGTGATAAAGTACAATACAAGGTTGGTTGGTTTATTATTATGAATATTATTATTATTTTATGATTATGTTTTGCTACTTAGTAGCTTGCATCAGGGCAGAAACACGGCTCTCTCTCTTAAATAAATTCGGAGCGAGTGAAATTTAGGATACGTCAGCCCCTTTGTTGATATTAGCTCTGATAATTATTGCAGGTTTTCCCTTTAGGTAGTAAATGAAGAATTTCGAGTGCTCACACAGCCAAAGGACAAACAGCGCCTGTGGGGATCGGGGTGGGGTGAAATTGGGGGGAGAATGGGGGTGAAATTCGGCCTATTGAATCCTATCAGAAAAATAATACAGGCGTTTGTTACACTCAGCCCTATGGGAACCCAATGGGAACACAATGGGAACGCTATGGGAACCCATTGGGAACACAATGGGAATCCAATAGGAACTCTATGGGTACGCAATGGGAACAGGATGGGAACAGGATGGGAACCCAAAGGGAACAGGATGGGAATCTAATGGGAACACGATGGGAACCCAAAGGGAACAGGATGGGAACCCAATGGGAACACGATGGGAATCCAATGGGAACAGGATGGGAACCCAATGGGAACAGGATGGGAACCCAATGGGAGCGCAATGGGAACCCAATGGGAACAGGATGGGAATCCAATGGGAACAGGATGGGAACCCAAAGGGAACACGATGGGAACCCAAAGGGAACACGATGGGAACCCAATGGGAGCGCGATGGGAACCCAATGGGAGCGCAATGGGACCCCAATAGGAACTCTATGGGTACGCAATGGGAACCCAATGGGAACCCAACGGGAACCCAATGGGAAAGCAATAAGAAAGAGGTGCGGGCGCTGCCAGGTGGGCTCCGAGCACCCCCCCCTTATCTCGCCTTCAATAGGTGATAAACGGCTTTTAGGAACGGCCATCGGCCCCCATAGACGGCTACAACTCCGACACCCCCCCCCCCCCCCCCCCCCCCCGGGGTCATTCGCGAGAGGCAAAACCAAGCGGAAAAAGGCAAAGTCAAAGCTGTTCAAATAAATACATTTTGTGCAGCCGGGGACGCGCTGCGGCCTTTGGCTTGGGAAGATGGGGGGGGAGGGGGTCGGGTTTTGCGAACCCCCTCCCCATACAACGTCGCTGCACTGAAGCCAAGTATGCGTTTATGGAGCTAAAAACGCCGCTATTAAATAGGAAAGCAAAACAAAAACTGGAAGGGGAAAAAAAAAAATAAAAGAGGGGAAGAGGGGGGGAAAAAAAAAAGTAGGGGAAGTTTCTATGACAATAAAAAAGGCTACAACTGTTTGACAGGTAGTTACTGCTGTGTGAGCCTCTCCATTCTATACTCTATAAAAGCAAATGACCGTCGTAAACATCTCGATTTATCATCTGCCATAAAACGAGACTTCAAGGGGCTGAGAACTCAGTCCTTGCTTTCTTCTTTTTCCTCCTCTTCTTTTTCCTCTTCCTCATTCCCTTCTTCTTCCGTTTTCTCCTCGTCTCTGGCTCCCGGCAGCTTATCTTTGTTGTTTTCTTTTTTCCATTTCATCCTCCTGTTTTGGAACCAGATCTTCACTTGTCTTTCGGTCAGTCCCAGGGCGTGAGAGACCTCAATTCGTCTCTTCCGTGTCAAATACGGGTTGAAGAGGAACTCCTTTTCTAACTCCAGGGTCTGGTACCGGCTGTAAGTTTGTCTGCCGCTGCGTCTTCCGGGAGCTGTAGGGCACAAACAGAAATAACTTCGTGGCTCTCCCCCCCCCCCCCCCCCCCCC